GCAGCCCGCGATATTTTCAGTATTCTTCGCCAGCACCGTCATTCAAAGGCATCCATTCTTCTGTCTTCCTTATCTCCAGGGTCCAACTTCCACAGGCGTAGGAGGCAGTGCAAAGGGCCACGGCTTGGGGCGGGCCCACCGTGGGCCTCAGAGTAACATCCTGGCTGTTCAATCCTCTACATCCCCAGTGGAGGAGGATGTCGTGGTTAAGACCCCAGGCTCTGGAGTCACAGGGCCCTGGGTTCAAATCTCAGCTCTGCCAGTCTCTGGTTTAGAGACTGTGACCAAGTGACTTCCCTGGGTTCTTAGTTCTTGTCATAAAAAAATGAAGGAATAAAACGGTGAACGGGATGATTGACAGGCCACCTACTCTCTCTCCCCTTTTGCCTTGGAAACAGAACCTTGAACAATAGCATCCCCCTCACCCCCATCCCACCCCCACCCCACCTCCCATTGTAAACCTGTATTTCCTGTTCTCCCTTACAGGCAGGGGTGATCAATGGGAAATCATTGGATGGGGCTTCTAGGGAAGTCTTGGGGGGTCTTCCCTGGCAATTTCTTTCTGCGACTTGGGTGTTGAATGTGATTGGGTGTTGCATGTAATGGCTGGGACTGCAGCAGCCACTTTGCACCATGAGGCAGGTCCATGACTGCCGCTGAAAATTCAGAGACCTGGTGATCTTTGTCGCCCTACTATGGGTGACCCGCCTTCAGATTTCTTCTAGGTGAGAAACTAACACCTGTGTCTTATTCTGCTACAGTCAGAGCTTAGTTACTAACAGACTCGATGTGGGGGTGAGAGAATGCACGTGACGTGTCTGGCACATACTAACCATGGAATGACGCTGGTTGTTACTGTTCCCTTTCTTGCTACTCTCTCTGACTCATAGCAACCCTATAGGGCAGGGTAGAACTGCCCCTGTGGGTTTCTGAGACAGTAAGAGTAGAAAGCCCAGTCTCTGTCCCAAGGAGCAGCTTGGTGGTTTTGAACTGCTGACCTTGTGGATTGCAGCCCAATGCATAACCATTACTCCACCAGGGCTGCTAGCATTCCTTGTTATCTTTTTGCCAACAAATGCCTCGCTCTCTGGGATGCCTTTTTCTTAGAAATGCAGAGCCCCCAAATGAACCTGGCTCTTCTCTTGGACAAACACGATGTAGCTAACTTCTTGATACTCAAAATAAATACCTTGTGGGCACCCATGATGAGTCTAGTGTGTGGGGAGATGAATGTGTCTGTGTGCACGTGTTTGTGTGTGTGCATGTGTGCGTGAGTGCGTGAGTGTGAATATGTGCCCACGCACGTGTGTGCATGTATGTGTATATATGCCTGTGGCTCTGTGTGTGTATGTTTGTGTGTATGCATTTGTATTTGTGTGAGTGAATGTCTTTGTGTGTGTGTGTCTGTGTGTGTTTGCATGTGAGTATATGGGTCTATCTGTCTCTGTGTGCACATGGGTGTATGTATGTGTGTGTCAGTGTTTGTGTATGTCTGCGTGACTCTGTGTGTGTGCATTTGAATTTGTGTGAGTGTATGTTTGTATTTGTGTGT